GGTTTTCTAGCGTGCTCCTTAGACAAAAGACGTGCGACCGTACAGTAGAAACGGTCGCACGTCTCCGTTCACACTGCTCGATTCTCGTACGATCGCGGGATTTCCCGCGATTCTCGTACAAGAATCGAGCAGTGTAAGGGCACCTTTAGATTAGAGGTACAGTCATCCTTTAAAGTAGAACTGAAGGGAGGGTTATAACCCCTGCCACCTTTTTCCAATCTGTGTCCAATTGGAGAGATTTCACTTCACTTCCTTTCCAATAGCCACAACAGGAAGTGAAAGGAAATCCCTCCAGAGTGAGGGGAATCTCTGGTGGTTACCTACTTTATCCAAAACTAAAAAAGCTTTGGCTTCAGCTCTACTTTAAGTATTTCAATTACCAGGCAGGCCCGGATTCCCCACAAGGCCACCGAGGCCCGGCCTCGTGGCGGCAGGGCACAGAGGGGCGGCAGCGGTGTCCTTGTGGCGAAGTTACCCTCTCTACATACAGTCCTGCTTTGTAGCAGGACTAAATGTGGAGTGAGGCAGGCGATTTTTCGTTTACATGTGAACTCTCGATGTCGCCGAGATCACATGTAAACAGTGTGCAGCCTCCTCCCCTCCCCCCTGCACTTACCTCTCTCCTCTGGTTCCGTCTTCCGGGCTCCTCCGCTGAGTGAGCGGCAGGGTTAAAGGTAACACTGCCGCTCCGTGTAGACAGTGAGAGGGGAGAGCTGTGCTGTGCCGTGCTCTTCCTCTCTCATCTGTCACTCGAGGGAGAATGAATCCGGCCCTGGTAATTACCAGGTACACCAATCTTTATTTGGTGTCATGTGGTTGAGAGGCGTATCATGGAGGGGTTTTCTTCTAAAGCAACATCAAAGGCCGTTTATTTGTTCATTCTTCTTAGGAATAGCGATTTCAAGGTAGGATTACCAATTTCCCTTTGGCCAGCAATTCACAGAAATGAGGCCTCAGTTACACCATGTGTTCTGCGACGGTGAATATTGAGTGGATGAAAAAGTCACATGACTTTGTTTGCTAGCAATGTCATGTGATCACCATGCTGATATGGTGAGCGATTTATAGAAAGATAAAGCCATTGGTAACCCTTAGCCATTGGTAACCCTTAGCCCTCATTCACACAGGAATCGGGCCGCACGTACAGCTCCGTGCTGCGTGCAGGGCCGTACCGAGCAACTCCCGCAAAGGACAGGTGCTGTCTGTGATTAGTACGCAGCTCCCGTCATTCTCTATGGGACTATGCGGCCGTCTCAGTCTCAAACATCATGATACATTTTTGGCACAAAAACAGATTCTGGATTGTTGAAAAGGAACTTCCCTGTCGCATCGGAGCCATTTATAGTATCTCAAGTCAATTTAAGATTGAGCGGTGAGGGTTGAATCTCTGCCATATTTGTATTGCCCTCCATGTCACCAACGGGGAGATTCCCTCCATTTGTCCTGATGACCATGGACACTGGGACCGAAAGTGACGGGAAATCCGAAAATGTGTGTTGTCACTACAACAGGACTGGAGTTGAAATCTTTCAATGGGTGCTCCTGCTCCTGTGATTACAATATAGGAGGGAATTTCCCCTCCCCCTCTCGCTTCCTGTCGTGTCTCAAAATAGGAAGTGAAAGATGAAACTTCCCAACGTGACACAAAAAAGGAAAGCTTTTTTTAACCATTCTCTACTCTATTCAAAAGCTTCAGTTTTAAATAAACATTATTAGGCCCCATTCAGACTTGAGCTGAGTGTCTTTGGTTGTTCTTTTTTCAAGCAATTTTACACGTTTTAGGGGTGAGCATTTTTTTAATTATTATTTTAAATTAATTTTAATACAATTAGTTTGAATTAAAAATGTTTAATGTATTATTTTTAACGATTGTGAATTAAAAAATAAATTAAATTAAAAACTAGTTACCAGGCAAATAAAAACGTGTGAAAAATGCACACTATCTGCTCTCATTGAAGTCTTTTGGGTCCAAAACGCGTGACTTTACTTAAAAAGAAGCTCATGTACTTTTTCAAGCTATTTTTCTACAGGCGACAGAACGCTCAGATGTGAACAGGGGCCGTAGAAAAACAATGCGACTCCTCCTGTTGAGCGTTGAAGTGCTTAGCCCGGGTTCACACCTTCGCTTTCCGTGAATGCACACCAAAGTGTGCGCCTTGCCGTGTTCCTGCAACGTGTCAAAAATGTGCAACTAGCTTGTGGCGCCATTACTTGTTAATGGCACCCCAAACACGGCTGGTAAAACACGTGCTTTTTCCCACGCATGGACACGTGCCAAACATGTAGGAAAGAACACGGTACGCTCGCAGCTGAAAATGCTGCATGAGCTACTTTGCACCGTTCATCAGGCATGGGGCAGCCCATTGATTGATTGGGCTGTTGCTCGGGCAACCATGGCAAAAACGCACCTGAACGCACACAAATGAACTTAGGCGTTCCTGCTCAGGCGTGAATGGGGGTTCAGTAAGTTGAATATTTAATTGCCTTTCCAGTAAATGCCGCCTATAATAATCAGACCTGCGTCCTGCACATAAATCATCTTGCAAACATGCCGGGGGGGTGGAGGGGGGGGTAGTCACCGCAAATTGGCTATCACATAGGGAGCTTGTTTGCTCCCTATGTGATAGCAATAAAGTTCGGTGAAAAAAAAAGGTTTAAAAAAATGTAAGTTACAAAAAAAATAAAAAATCACATATCAAAGCAATAATAATAAAAAAATAAATAACCCACATGCACACGCAAACATGCGTCAAGCCTGCCTACGTCGTGTGAAAACGCCGATTACATCCATTGCGCTGCACATGTTACATATCGCCGCGAACGTCGCAGTGAGAGCAATAAGTCTAGGGTCATCAATCACTGATAACACTAAACTGATGAGCGGTAAAAGCTTTTAAAGCGTCGGCTATGGTAAATTTTGAGTATGGTAGTTTTTTGCGATTTAACGGGTGTGCGCAATATTAAAGCTTGACATGTTTGGTGTCTTGATGATGATTGATGATGATGCTTTGGCAGACATAAATCCTGCTTGACAGTCAGACTGGTTTTGCCATGCTGGGAAAGCAGGGCACAGCCTCTGATCCGTATCCCAATAATTCCACAACATCTGGCCAGCCTCCACCTAATCTGTATTGTGCAATGTGCTTAGTATATACATCCAGCCCTGCACTTGTTCCATGACCCCTGCATCCCCAATCACACATACACCAGGGTGCTGTGTGTCTGCCCTGGGGAGGAAGGGGTTACACCAGTGCTCAGTGACATCACCAGCGGCAGAACCTGAACAACTACCCAGCCTAGGAGACTGTACCATCCGCCCCGGAGGGGGGGATTCCAGGGGCCCTGCCTTTGTAAACACAATTCATCGCCCTCCTTATTATAAACATGTTATTGGAGCATTGAAAAAAGTATTAGTGGAAGGGGCTGACACAGACAGCCTAGTGTGACAGCGTGAGCGGGAGCTGCGTACGGTGTTTTGTTTTCACTCGCCCCCCCTCTCACTGGGAGTGGTTCGATCCCCGGGCTGGCTGTGGTGTACTGTCAATCAGACCGGTAGTGTCCATGGGCTGGATGCCTGGCAGGGGGAGCAGCAGGATCCAGGAGAGCTCAGGTGGGTGCAGTGCTGGGAGGGGGGAGCGGGAGAGGAGCTGCATCTTATTCTTCCTATAAATCACTGCAAGGCCCCCCCTACGCTGTGCATGGTCAGCCCCCACTTACTGACCCACATTCACTACTGATCCGGGTGTCCCCATTCACCACTGGGGACACAGCTGGGTCATCAGCTTTTATGACATACCTGCAATGCATACAGATCCATATTTATTATTATTATTACTAATAATGTTTTTTGTATTTTTTTTAGTTCATATGCTGCACCCTATCCCCCCTGGTACTATTGCTACTGACACCCGACTGGGTAAATCGGGTGCTGATAGTGATCCTGATAATCTCACCCAGTAGTGACCACTGCCCCTGTATGACTGATCATCTTTTACACTTATGAATGGTCTGCTCTGTCTCTATGTGTTTTGTATAAATGTGTTATTTTTTTTATTTCCAGTCCAAATTCTGTGCATCCCCCTCTGTAAATGAACGCAAGAGCCCCCCAGCACATTCACTTCTTGGGGTGCCCATTGAGGATCATCAGATTTTTTTCATGAAATATCTGCAATGCCTTGAGATCAGTTATCGATATTTATTATTATCATACATACGATTAATGATTCAGACTCCATATTCAATGATTCCCCATGGTGAAAAGTGCATGCTCAATAGTGATCTGATAAACTCACCCAGTGGTGACCAGTGCCCCTGGTGACTCCAGTGACTGATCATCTTTTACTCTTATGAATGATCTGCACTGTCTCTATTGTATCAATGTGTTATTTTTTATTTCCAGTCCAAATTCTGTGCCTGATCCTTTCTGTATATGAGCGCAGGTGCCCCCCGCACTGTGTATGGTCTTCCCCCACTCACTGATTGCACTACAACCCACATTCACTGGTGATCTTGGTGTCCCCACTAAGTATAAAACTGGATCATCAGATTTTATGAAATATCTGCAATGCCTAGAGATCAGTTATTTATTATTATTATTATTATTATAATTATTAATGATTCAGACTCCATACTCAGTGGTAAAAAGTGTATGCTTAGTAGTGCCCATGATACACTCACCCAGTGGGGACCACTGCCCCAGGTGACTCAGGTGACTGATCATCTTTTACTGTTATGAATGATCTGCGCTGTCTATTAGTATTGTATAAATGTGTTATTTTTTATTTCCGGTCCAAATTCTGTGCCTGATCCCCTCTATGAATGAGATTAAGGCCTGGTTCACACCTAGGCGTATTGTATATGCACGTCTGACGCGTGTTTTTTTTTTTACCGTGATTTGCGGTAAAAAAATCGTTTCCGAGGGCTACTTGGCTGTATCCCAATGGAAACGCGCAAGAAAAACGGCCCAAAGTAGTACATGTACCTTTTCAGGCGTGGGCCGTTTTGTAGCGCGTTAGGGACGGGCTGAAATACGCCAAGGTGTGAACCAGACCCATTGAAAACAATGGGATTTTCATGTTTGAGCGTTTTGTAGAGCGTTCGTCAAGCGTAGAACGCGCTACAAAACGTTCAGGTGTGAAGGAGGGCTAAGAGCCCCAGTGACATTGTTTATGGTCTTCCCCCACTTATTGATTGCACTACAACCCACATTCACTGGTGATATCTGCAATGCCTAGAGATCAGTTATTTATCAATATAATAATTTTTTTTTATTATTAGTGATTCAGACTCCATACTCAATGGTGAAAAGTGCATGCTTAGTAGTGATCCTGATAAACTCACCCAGTGGTGATCATTGCCCCAGGTGACTGATCATCTTTTACTCTTATGAATGATCTGCACTGTCTATCAGTATTGTATGTGTTATCCCAAATTCTGTGCCGGATCCCCACTATAAATGAGTGCAGGAGCCCCCGGTATTGTGTATGCAATTCTCCCACTCAGTGATCACACTACAACCCACATTCACTGGTGATCTTGGTGTCCACCACCAAGGATAAAACTGGATCATTAGATTTTATATAATATCTGCAATGCCTAGAGATCAGTTATTTATTATTAATGATTCAGGCTCCATACTCAGCGGTATAAAGTGCATGCTTAGTAGTGATCCTGAATGTATTATTTTTTTGTTTCCAGTCCAAATTCTGTGCCTGATCCCCTCTATAAATTAGCACAGGCATTGTGGTGTATTGTCATTCACTTATTATACTAATACCCACACGTACTAGTGATCCTATTGTCCCTGTTCAGCGGTGACCACTGAGGATACAACAGTATATGTATTATTGTTAATCATAATAATAATTGTTTTTTTTTTTTTTTGGTTAATATGCTGCACCTTATCCCCTGTAAGTGCTCACCATTACTATTGCTCCCCACTGGGTAATTCTACTGGTGAAAAGTGTATGCTTGGTAGTGCCCATGATAACTCACCCAGTGGTGACAACTGCTGCAGGTGACTCAAGTGACCATCTTTTACTCTTCTGAATGTCCAGTATTTAATAATTTTGTTATTTATTTGTTTCCAGTCTTTATTCTGTGCCTGATCCACTTTATAAATTAGCGCAGGAGCCCACTGACACTGTGCATTGTTGTGTGTAGCTCCCTCGCTAGCCAGATCAGTGAGATGTCTCCCCCTTGCTAACTGGACATGTGGGATGTCACCTCCTTGCTAGCCAGACCAATGGGATGTCGCGCCCTCGCTAGTTGGACCAGTTGGATGTTGTCATCTCGCTAGCCAAACCAGTGGCATGTCGCCCCCTCACTAGTTGGACCAGTGGGATGTGGCCCCCTGGCTAGTTGGACCAGTGGTATGTTGCCTCCTTGCTTGCCAGACCAGTGGGATGTCGCCCTCTCGCTGGCCGCGCCGGTGGGATGTCGGCCTCTCGCTGGCCGCGCCGGTGGGATGTCGGCCTCTCGCTGGCCGCGCCGGTGGGATGTCGGCCTCTTGCTAGGTGCGCCGGTGGGATGTCGGCCTCTTGCTAGCCGCGGCCTCTCGCTAGCCGCGCCGGTGGGATGTCGGCCTCTCGCTAGCCGCGCCGGTGGGATGTCGCCTCCTAGCTATTTAGACCAGTGGGATGTCGCCCTCTCGCTAGTCGGACCAGTGGGATGTTGCCTGCTCGCTAGTTGGACCAGTTGCACCCCTTGCTAGTGAGTGAGATTCTTCACTGTTCTGGCTAGTGACGGAGTGATTCTCTCAGGACTAGCAGAAGCCTCTCCTTAGTCATTTTGCTTTTGTTACCCCTAGTCATATTCTGTTGCCGCTGGTGATCTTTCGCTGTAAGGGCTCGTTCACACTATCATCCGTGGATCACATTGCATTGCACTGCATCAGCATCAGACATCTGCAGTGCAGCATCTCACTAATGCATTCACTATTGTTGGGGAACCGCTCTAGGAGGATCCAGCATCATTGAGGATCGGGTGAGTATATCTTTGGACCCTAAACCAAAATGAGCGCTTATCCCTTGCAGTACGGGGGTAACTCCACTGCAAGGATTAAGATCTCTTCTGTCCTTCCTTAAAGTGACATTAAAGTTACATCCCCCCCAATGCTAGTATAAGGACCCTAAATGATGCCTGCCTCTTGATCCGATCATCTTCTTTCCTGTAGTTTTCAGGAGTCCCTACAGCGCTGGTGCCTGTCTCTGATCCAGCGCTGACTGCTGTGTCTTCTGTGTCCCACGGTGTCTGTGCGTGTGCACGCTGCTGGCTGTGTGCATTGACTTACCTGTGTCTCTCCTCTTCTCCCAGGTGAAGATCTGTACTGCGTATGTGCCCACCCCATGATACTTCACGGCCGCTCGAGGATCATCGGACGGGAGCAAGCAGCAGAGACACAGGTAAGTTTTTACCTATTTGTATTTGTTTTTTTTACACTTAGCAATAAAGTTATTACATTGGGGGCTAACAAGCCCCCTATATGGTAACACATACATTTATTATGTAATATATTAATATGTAATAATTATATTTATGTATGAGCATGTACATATTTGCGGGGAGCTTTAAACATTTTAATGTTTTTATTGATTTTATTCATATGTAATTTTATTAATTTTTTTTACACTTAAATCTATTGCTATCGCATAGGAAGCTAAGTAGTCCCCTATTTTATAGCACATTGGAGTTGACAGGTCCTCTTTAAGGAGACATTAGGGGTGTATTAGTGCCCGCTTTGCACTCTAGTGAAGCTAACTAAGCTCAGATCGTGCTTGATTCGTTTTTTCCCCGGGGCTGGGGAAAGACAGCTCTGAAACTAGAAGTGACGAAATGCTTGTCGCTTCCAGCTTCATTCAGTGCAGAGAAGATCAACAAATGGATGTTTGATGATCACCCTCCACTCTCCCTGTGGACACCAGCCATAGCTGTCAGGAGCCTGCAGGTGCGGGACATGTATGGCGGCGTGGTACGGGACATGTATGGCGGCATGGTGCGGGACATGTATCCTGGGCAACGGAGCCCAGGATACATAGCGGGGGGGGGGCAAGGGTGGCATGTTGTAGGACTGATAGAAGTGATCAGGCTGCTTGCTTCTGGGATTCGGCTGAAGAAATGTAAACCGACTCCTGGCTGTTGTACTATCCATGGCAGCAAAAGGGTTAAAGTGTTTCCACTTTTGCAGTCAGATTTGGGAAACCCCCCGCTATATGTTTGTTGTGTGTTCCCATTCACACGGCATGCCGAAAAATATTCTTTAAAAAAATATTTCTTACCTTTTTGTAGTCGTTTCTTTGGACCTTTACACATAGGACTCTACAGGCAGCTTGCAATTGTTCAGAATCTTGCAATGTACATGTAGAGGGCAGACTATTTTAAAAGCGTGTTTACATACAATGTTTCACCAAAGCCATGAGATCCTTGGGGCCCAATCACACCACAAAGCGTGTGTTCCAGAGTGTTCTGCCTCTGAAACGCACTGGAATGCAACCCAGCTGGCTCACTTTGTTTTGGGCGGGAGGGGGCGTGGTGGTGCATTGAAGTCAATGGCACCGCAGCCATGCCCCCGCCCGCAGTGCGATTGCCAGCACCTAACGTGTGGCACATTAG